CGTCCATCCCCCCCCCCTGCCCTGTCCCTTCCCCGCATCGGCCATGGCATCAACCACGACAGGTTTGGACCAGGCGCTCCAGCTGCCCTGGTACCACGGCCCGCTGGGCTGGGCCCGCACCTGGGCATGGTAGCGGGCGCCTGGCCGTAGGTCCAGGACTTCTTTCCTGGCTGCGCGTGGGATGTGCAGAACCTGCGGGCCAGAGCCGAGCTGGAGACAGCGGCTGCGGGGGGGCGGGGCCGGTGCTGGGGTACGGGTCCATCCTGCCTGACCCCATGCGGGCCATGTGCTGGCAGCAGAGGTGGGCAGGGCTATACAGCGGAGCCCTGGCCAAACTTTACCTTCCAGTCGTGGCTGTTCTCTACAGCATAGCGGACCTTGTAGACCAGCTGCTCCGCCAGTGCCTCCCGTGGTGGCAGCCAACGCAGGGACCGGCCCTGTGACACTGTCGCCTGCACAAGCTGCGGGGCATCTGTGAGCACTGTTGCGGATGGGGATGTGTCACTGCCATGGAACATGGGATGTTGTGTGTTCCCCCAGCTGGGCAGGGGCTGCAGTGGCGCTGGGACTCACCCGCCTGGTGCAGCCAGAAGGGCTCCTTGAAGTAGCTGAGCGTGGCCAGCACGTGAGGCTGAGTGATGTTCACCAGGATGGAGATGGCACTGCCAGCTTTAGGCTGGAAGGTGCAGGTGTTGGTGACCTGCTCCTCCACACTCCCCTTCTTGCACTGCTGCCATGCATCTTCCCTGCGCAGGGAGCAGGGAGCCAGTCAGCCCTGCTGTGACTGCCCTGCTCCCCTCATCCGCTGCCAGCCCTGCTCTGGGGCCACCCTGTCCCTGCAGCCAGCGCTGCCTCTCCCCTCCTGCCCTTGCCCAGGAAAGCCACTGTCAGCTGTGGCTGGGAAGTGTGAGGTCTATGGTGGAAGGGCAGGGCAGAGCACAGAGCCAGGTGGCACAGTGTGGGACGCTTGAGTAGGGCTGGCAGTCTCTGGGATGTGCCACCCCTCTGCCTGAGCACCATGTCCCTGTCATGCCCCTTACCTCATGCCAGCCCCGCTTGGAGATGGCCGGTAGAAGAGCTGCTGGGAACTGTGGGGCTCTGCGGGGTCCAAGCTCCACTCGCAGCGCATGTGCTGCAGGTCAGGGGTGCTGCAGCGCAGCCCGATGTCTCCTGGGCAGGCGAGACCAGGGCAGGGAAGGGGCTGCTTTCCCTTGGTCCCCCAAAACCTGGGTGCTGCACCTCGCCTACCCCAGGACCCCCACCCCTTGCAGCCCCAGGTGCAGGTGCCTCTCCGCTGTGCCTGCCAGCACCCCGGCGGTGGGGACAGCCGCTCAACGGAGGATCGGGGTGTCTCTGCCGCC